ACAGAACTAAGAGACCAGCACAATACAGAGCTATGGGCTTGGCCCATGAAGAGAGAAAGCTGAGTGGTTGTGGGCAGGAGACTTGCTGGCTGAGTGGGGTGCACCTAGATGAACCTATTGGTAGAGCTAAATGAGCTCTATAACACTTGCCTGAGCAGGGCAGAGGACAGGGTGAGAGGCTGAGGGCCAGAGAGAATTATGCCTTTGGACATAACCAAGGAGAGTCTGACCCAGTCAAAGAATTGTATCCTGAGCATTCCTGAACCTGAATTGTAACCTGTTACTTCTCTACCAAACTCCATAATTGTGAGTATTGTCTGTGAGTTTGTGTGGCCATTGCAATGAATTCTCGAACCCAGCAGACAAGTAAAGTAGTAAGTGTCACTGGAGGGATGGCTGGTGTGGGAGTTAATCAAAAGGCAGGAGGGTGGCAGTATGTTTGGTTTCATAGGAATAAGCCTTGGGCTGCTGATGGTGATTCTATCTCCCCTTTGTGAAAATAGAGGTCAGAGGAGGACATCACCCCCATGTCCTTTTTACACTAGCACAGTGCCTGGCACATAATAGGTACCCAATAAACTTTGTTGAGTAAACCAATTTTGAAAAGTTTGATATTTGGGGTTATTTGTTGGATGAGTTTATAGAAGACATTGCTTTTATGGTGGTTTAATGAGTTAGCTACAAAATAATGTATGTATTTATTAAAAGAACAGTGTCCCCTCTGGGTAATGATGGACTACTTTGGCTTGATTTAACATAAGCCATTGTCTTTCCACTGGCAAAGAAACCACCACTTATTATGATTCCAATTACTCACTTCAGCATGATGAAATTGTTTTACCAAATGTGAATTAGCTAATATTGCTTAGTCGCTGGCTTTAAGCTAGTCTCTCTCTGGTGGGTGTCTCTCCATCCCAACCCTGTGGGGGCCCAGAACTTACTTGATAATTTTGTAGCTGGGACTTTTACAGAAGACCAGCAATCCAGCTCCTGAGCCCAACAATAGACCCCCCATCTTCAGGGATTTCACAGCTGACACCCCCTGGGGGAAGAAACATTCTTTAAGAAAAAGTCCAAGCAGTCTCATCATCAGTAATGCATGTACCATTACTGAACATTCTGATCAAAGATGCCATAGAAGAAGCCTGATCAAAAGGAGGGAAATGCAGAACAGAATTTAATGAATTCTCAAGGACTCCAGACTTCTGGAGCCATAAAGGATGGATAAACCCCTG